CCCCCACTCCCCCCCTTTCTCCCGCCGTCCCTACATCGAGTAAATAAAAGTCTGGTAGACAATCACAGCGCTGGTAGCACATTCTGTTACACATTTTGACCACTCCTGTTGCCTCCTTTTCCTGGCTGTCTCTGTGTTCAGCGCAGGTGGCAGCGCATTTCTGCGAAGGACGAAAGTGAGAATGCATGTAAATATATCACGTTCGTACATACAGTAGCCCAAATGCTGTGGAAAAGCTGCAAGGACACACAATATAGAATAAAGCAGGTACAGAGTATTTGACGCTTTCAAATCAGGAGCAGGGAAGGCAAATGGAATGGAAAAAAGCAAGTCAAGTTCTCAAGAAGAGAAAGTTTTGCTGACATGTAGTGGGATCAGAATGATCTGTGCCTGAAGTAGTCGACAAATTTCGATTGCTTATAAGGTACTGGGTAAATCTCATAGAATTACCGGCTCGATCGCGCAGAAAGAGTAATGTGCATTCTTAGGACAACGAGGAAGAGGGTTGAGAGTCTCCTCCTCGGCTGCTGGCGGCACAAAAATGTCACGCTCTGATGATTTTGGGCGTATTTTGCCATTTAAAGACCCTTTGGTACTGTTTAAATAGAAAGAAACCGAGTAGATGATGGAGAAACTCATCGGACTGTGTACAGTATGTCTCCTACTCAAAACCTCCTTCAGGACAATTTCCGACGTCAATCCTTCTCACTTACCCTTCCAAGTCTGCAAGTCTATCGAATGTATGATCTGTACGTGGACGAAGATTTGAGTGCGAAGATGAAGTGCGCGCATCCAGCTCCTCTGTGTAAGCTAGCGGCAATGAACACGCAAGAAGGGAGTTGGAAGAAGAAAAATTAATGCGGGTAGGAGTGAGGGAAAATCTGCCTTTCAAAACCTACCAGTTGTAGATGTCTCGATGGCTGTGGCACAGGACACGAAAAATGTTGTCAGAAGACCAAATAGAAAGACAAGCAACAGGGAGGCGGGAAGGGACCGCGCCTTGGAAGCATAGCGAAGCATCAGTGTCGTCTTTCCTGTGGCAGAGTCTTGCAAGAAAGCAGATTTATGGAAATTAAAGGATTTGTGACTATTGACATAATTTTAAATCCCTTTCTTTCACCTGTGAGTGAATCGTTTTGCGCCTGATATTCTGCAAAGCATGTTTGCCCTCGCATAGGCAGTTACTCAAACGGTTTTTTCAAATTTTAAACACGAGGAGGTGCCGACCCCAAATAATACTCTATTGCTTTGATAAAGTGAAGCACATATGTGTTCTTATACCAGATTGTCGCTCCTCGTATGTTTTTAAAAAATAAAGCGAAGCGTACGTAGTATAGTAGGTCCGAACCAGTCCAACGTGCCCCCGTGCAATGGGGAAAAGATACCACGCATTGTCACACATGTGGATACATTTCATATCTCTGTCTTGGCATTCTTTACGGGTTTCACTTACTTTTATCGACTCAATACTTCCTCTCGGGATTCTGCATGCTGTCTGATTTCTCGTTGTTCCTTACGCTTCATCGCCACATACAACAAAACCGCACCTACCATCCCACCACAATCGTACACATTTCCACATACATACACCCATACCCCTCCACTTCAAACCAAACAATCCAAGACAAACCTCCTTTGTGATGTTTTAAATCTCCTGGGCACCATTACATTCGCCCACCACACCTCCTAGGCACGGGACGTTAGTCCTTCCACCCTCTTTTGCTTCCTCCCTCTCGGCAACGCTCGGCCAGGAACGCCCCATCTCGCTCAAGAATTGTTTGATCCCTTCCAAATCTTCTTTTTCCCTCCCTTTCCTCCTTTCCTCCACCCATCCTTCCACGGCATCGAAGACCGGGGCTGCGTCGCTCCAGAGCAAGACCAGGGCATCCAGGCACCAATTTCTTTCCGGGGTGCCTTCCTTCGCCATCTGCAACAGCCGACCCACATCGTCCTGGTAGTATCTGCGAGCAGAACTAGAGGAAGGGAGGTGGAGGGAATGGGGAAAAGAAATTTTCGAAAA